TTTGTTAAAAACTGCTTTGTATGAGTTCTAGAAGTACTTTCTGATCCCACGAGAATTTCAATCTATTGAGGGTTAGCAGTTGGGTGAGAGTTATGGCTCATTGTAAATCCCAGCGCCTCCTCTGAATTGGGCCAACCTACTAAGAGTATGTCATTTCTGCTTCTCAGCATCAAACTTCCTGGAAAAGAACATGGGCTATTTGTGTCCTAACATGTTGCATGAGTGGATCACAAAAGTATCCCAATGGTGAAATGCAATAAAATCATTGATACTTTTAAAAAAATCCCAGCTGTAGAAAATAATACTAAAAAGCGATACAATGTGGTGTAGTAGAGCATTGGGTTAGGACTCAGGAGACCAGGAGTCACATTTCTTCCCAGTGATGAAACTCACTGGTGTTCCAATCTCTGCTCCGAACTGGACCCTCTCAGCCTGACCTATCTCATAGGATTGTTGTGAAGAGAAAACATAGAGAGGAGGAAAGCTATGCATAGACGTATGCCACTTTCAGCTTGTTAGTAAAAGGTGGGATATAAATGTGGCACATAATTTAAAAAAACTGTACATGATCAGTGGCTAAAACTTGGGGACATTGTTCACAGTTCTTCATAGAATATCCTACATCAGTGGTTCCCAACCTTGGGTAACTCAGGTGTTCTTGGACTGTAATTCCCAGAAGCCTTCACCACCAACTGTGCCAGCTGAGGTTTCTGGGAGTTGCAGTCCAAAAACATTTGGGTTACCCAAGGTTGGGAACCACTGCCCTACATTGTAGATGTTATTCTGTGTGATGTTTACAACAAAATGTGACTTTTGGGCGTTAAGAGTATTGCACTGTTCTGGTGCGTAAGAGTAATTATACTTTTAGATTGCCTAATAATTAAAGTTTTCTGGACTTTACAACTTTACATGAAAAGTTGAGGGCTTCTTAGCATACTGTAAATATAAGCAAGTTTTCACAATAGTCAAAAGGTTTTGATTAAAACTCTGCTTCAGCACAACTCTTTCTTGACAGTACTCTTTGCTTCTACATGTTGAAGATGTCTTATTACCAAAAATCCTATTTTGTTTTTATATCTGCATAATGCAACTGGTGTGAAGCTTGGTAGCAACTGCCACAGATTTAGAAATTAGCATAAGCATTTACTGTTGTGCATCAATTTATGTGACTCAGAGCACAACAGCAAATGCCTTTGCTAACTTCTTAACTTGTGTCAACTCGCCACAAACATTTACACCAACTGCGTCTGCCAGCAGACATAACTAATAAGATTTTGGCCAACAACTGTGAATGAACTAATTAGTATTAACTAATTGTCTCATGCCAGCATATTTTTGCAATCAATATTCTGAAAGTTTGTTAGCTTGGACAGAGTTCCTACTACAGTCCTCTGAAGATGCCGGCCACAGAGACTGGTGAAACGTCAGGAAGAACAACCTTCAGAACACGGCCAAAGAGCCCAAAAAACCCACAACAACCATTAGATCCCGGCCGTGAAAGCCTTCGCGAATACTTTGTTAGCAATGTTAACAATGCAACTGTCATATTCTGGGCCTCATCTCACTCTACGATCATGTACACTTTGTCTATAAACCTGTTCCTTAAATATAGTACTTTCTGTGTTGATTGTAGTTTCACACAAAAATTGATCTATGTCTTAAAGGTGCACCAAGACATTGTTGGTGCACCTTTTTGATACATAAAAACAGAAGGTATAGAATAATACGAGGGGGTGCTGATAAGTATAGAGCCTTTCCCAAAAAAATTGAGCCAGGAAGCTACAAATTGCAGGGTGTATTGGCCAATTTGTCTATATTCAATGGTGCAAAAATCAACTACCTATGATTTTAACTTAACTTTCATTTTCCGGTCCAAAGTGAACATGGCGGCACCTCCAGAAAAGTTCAATTTGGAAGAGCATAGAACCATAACCAAGTTCCTGTTTCTCCAAGGGAAAGGTGCAAAGCAGTTCCATGATGAAATGTCATGAACTATGGGTGACAGTGGCCCTTCATGTGCAACAGTTAAACGTTCGGTTGTCAATTTTTAAACTGGCCATTTCGGTGTTGAAAGTGAGAAACCCAGTGGAAGGCCTGTTTTTGTCTCTGTGCCTGCAAATGCGAAAGCCATCCATGACATGATCAAGGAGGAGCGCCAAATATCAGACAAAAGTATTGCTATATATCTGAGAATATCACGTGAGAGAGTTGGTGCCATTATCCACGACGACTTTGAAATGAGAAAGCTGGCAGCAAAGTGGATCTCCAAACTTTTGAAAACTGAACAAAAGAGGAAACACGTGGAATCACTGGTGGCTGTTTTGGAACATTTTGCAAGAAATGAGTCAGATTTCCTGGGCAAACTGGTAACTGGTGATGAGACATGGATCTACTGTTATGATAATGAGACAAAGGAACAGTCTAAGGAATGGAGGCACAGTGGTTCCCCCAGGCCAAAGAAGTTCTGAGTGCAAAGGTTGGTGCAGAAGCAAATGGCAACGGTTTTTTGGGATAAGAAGGGAGTTCTGCTGGTGGGCTACCTCCAACAGGTAGTTGTAGGGTGTATTGTGCTTTATTGACGAAGTTGAGGCAAAACATCAAGGAAAAACGTCAAGAAAAGCTCTCCAAAGCTGTCATCCTGTTGCATGACAACGCCCCATCACACACTGCAGGTGAAGCAATGGCAAAACTGATGTCCCTAGGCTTTCAAGTGATGCCCCATCCACCCTATTCTCCCGACCTGGCTCCTTCTGACTATTATCTGTTCCCCAAANNGAAGAATTTTATTTGCAGGGACTTAAGAAGCTGCAGGACAGATGTCGCAAGTGCATTGACTTCCTGGGGGAATATGTAGAATAGTGTGGCAGTTACAGCTTCCTAGCTCAATTTTTTATGGGAAAGGCTCAACACTTATCAGCAACCCTTCATATAGAGTAAATCTAGCAGGAAGGAATAAAAAATGCAGTTGTACACTATAAAACTACTGTACAACCACTTGAAAAAAGTGAAAACTGTAAAGGACCAAAAACAGTACAATCTTTCTTTCTCATGATGAACAAAAAGGGTTTCAGCTGGTGCTAAAAACTCCATAACATTAAACAAAAGGCAAGCTGCTGTGCTCCACAGACAGGGTGTCACCACTGAAAAGGCCTGTTTTCATGCAGCCACCCATCCCATCTCATCTCATTTACTAAGTCATATAGAGGAGAACCTTTGCTGATGACCTTAGGATCCAGGTAAATAAATATGACGATGAAACTTTTCAGCCAAGACACTCTCAAATTATTTATGGGTTTATAATGGACTGGCTACTGGAAATGGGCTGGTAACCAATACAAACAGCAAAGCACTGGCATAATGATTGTGTCAACCATTCTCAGTTAAAGGGGCCAGCTACTGAGAACGTTGCTGTATTTTCATATATATGCCCCAATAGACTACAGTAATCAAAAGAGGCATGCATACTACTTCTGTCGACTAAGGGTCATAGATTGTACACTGAACTGATACAGGTATTTTGAGCCAGTAAAGCTATCTGTGCTGCTAACAATGGATCCAGAAAGTTAATTTTATTTAAGAGTTTACTGTGTTGTTCACTAAACACTCTCTCAAACTGGAGATTTTGACACAGTTCTTTAACTGCTTTTGTCTTCTGGGCATTTTTTCCCATCATTTGCCTGATCAGCTTCCTTTCCTTGGATCTAAACTCCTCAGAAGCATAGCTCGCTATATTAATAAGGCATCCGGCTGTTTTAACATCTGCTTTGACTCAGTCCCCTGAAGAAACAGCAGAGAATGTGAGGACTAAAATGTTGACAGAGAAAGCTACCCACCTCTTAAAATGGATGGAACCCTAGAAAAGTCTAAGTCCCTGGTCAAGTGAAGGACTGGGTTACTTGGAATAAACTATTGACTGGAGCTGGCAAAACCAAAGTGAACCTTAGAAAATGTGGCTTTTGTACCAAACCAGTTCTTTGCAAGAGCAAAGAACAGGCAACTTCTAACCTATTTTAGTGTACTCTGTGCCCCTCTGCATGAACTGTGGAAGATCTGATGGTAGCTCACATTCTGATGTTCCCTGATGTTGCTTGTTATTGGGCAAAAATTATTTGATATATTTATAAATTGGACTGAAGTGCTTCTAACACGAAGAAAGACTCCCCTCCCGTTTTGCAAATGAGTTTGCCATTGCTTTGCGATTAGTTTTCAGAAGGTAAATACAGACAAGTCTCATTTGGATCTGAAAGACCTGTGTGGTTTTGAAGTAAGCCATATGTATTTTTCAAAAGTTATTTTATTTAGAATATGCTAAAGAAAGAGAGTACACAGAAAGAAAAATGTCCATCTTGCCGGAGAAATTCAAATTACCTCCTTTTATGCTGCCACAAACTTAACCAACCCTTGTGGCTTAAACTACTTTGCCCCATAAACGATGTATTTAATTACCTTTTAACATCCTGGAATTGTCGAAACTATTTCCAAAAGCTCAAAAACATATCTCAGAAGCAGGTCAAAAAACATCGTCTAACAGCCAGTTTTAAAACCAACTGAAGAGATCCTTCAGCACAAGAGTTTTCAGTAGCCTTCTAAACAGAGGAGATGGGAGTCAGACCAGTTTATCTTAGAGAAGAGCAGGCAAGGGCTGGAAGTCTAAAACATTAATGCACGCTGCTGGTGCTCGGGTGCAAAAGAGCAGGAACGTGTTCCACAATCTCCTGTAGGTTTTAAAGCCCAGAGTATGTCACAGCCTTGTGTAAGGCAACACCACCTCCAAAGTGACTGGCCCTCCAGAAAGGCAGGGATGAGGAAGTTTGCGGAGAGCCAATAAACGTCAGGAAACAACTCTCCCTCTTCCCCTGTCCTATATTGGTCGGAATTCTAGCTGCCTTCGAAGAAGATTCGCTGATCTTGATTGGGCGATTTGAGCACACGGCGCTGTACTCTTACTTGTGATTGGGCGTAGGAGGCTTTTGGCCTCTCGTAGCCAATGGGGAGAGGGATTGTTGCGAGGTGGCAAGATGGCAGCGTGCTGCTCTGTCACAGGAGGAAAAGGAATAGGGGTAGAGTAAATCCCGAAGAGTTTATCCTCGAAGGCGGGGTGGCCGGCCGCTGTATGGTCGGGGCACGGCCTGGCTTCGTCCGAGTTGCTGTCGTGCCCGGCCTTGGGATAGAAAAGCGATGAGGTGATGGGAATATGGCGAGCGACGGGGGTAGGAAGCAGTTCTGGAAGCGGAACGTCTCCCGAGTGCCGGGCAGGTAAGAGGCAGCAGAGGTTTTGTGAGGGGTGGTTAAGGAGGCTGTCAAGGCAGGACGGGTCAGCCTGGCTTTCGTAAAGGCTGAAATCCTCGCCCGCTTATTTTGGGCCAAGCGGGCGCTACGTAAACACACATCCTGATGGTATTTTGTGCGTAGTGGCGTCTTTGAAACCGGGCAGGACGACGGGGTTTCCAAGAGTGGTGGCTGTTGGTGGCAATAATGATGGCTTGTAGTATCGTCCTGTTGCAGCATGTTCCAAATACTTCGCATACTTACCGGTGCTTTGCAAGCTTTACAGCAACACTACAGATTACGCCAGTATTATTCTCTCTGCCCCATTTTGCAACGAGGAGCTTTGTGGAAAGCGTAGCTTGCCTGTGGCTTGTGTAGCAAGTTCACAGCACAGATGAGTTTTCTGGCTCTTAACCTCAGTTTTTAAAGTGTTGTTTTGTGACAGCTAAGTAATGAAACTCACTCAGAGACAGCGTTATTTGTGGAAATCAAGTGCCAAGGTTTTGTTTCTTGGCAGCATTTGTTTGGCTACTGTTAGGGGAACATGCTGACCTTACATGGCTTATTGGTGTACTCTGCTGTTATGTTCTTAAATAGAATAGGTCTGGATAAAGTCTGGAGCAAGAAAAGTAGAATGCAGTATGTGATTAAAAATATATTTCACTTGTAGGATGACTCTGGCTGGATAGTTTAGTGAGTTAAAGTATCAAGCTGTGGACTGGGAGGCAGCCTGTGTGACCTCAGAGAAGCTGCACAGTCCCATAACACCACCAGAAAAAAGAACTGGTAAACTGCTTTTGAGTGCTTTATAACTAGGAAACGCTGGCAAGTGTTATGAGAAGTAGTAATTAACTAGATTATAGATAATTAGTATTACTGAAGGATGATATTCTTAATGTTCTTTCTTTACTGTGCACAGTGTGCTCACTTTTGCCGACATAATTCTTGACTTGTAGGACTGACTGCTTAGAACTCTGTTCCAATAGGACTCCTGAGTAAAAACATCTTTATAAATAAAAACAAATGCTGCTTTCCCCATCAGTGCATCTTCATGCTACCAGAAAGGAAACCACTTCTTTTTCTTCCTCATTTTCTTTTGTCTTGATCGTGTGTCTTTCATAAGTGCATAGGCTCTGTTGTGGAGAAAAAACGTGACAATTGTAGGAGAAAATAATATTTTTTATGAAGAAAGCATGTTCAGGTAAATGTATGGGTTTTATTATTAGTGGAGAATATTTTGTCAGTATAGATCAGGGGTCTCCAAACTACAGTCTGTGGGCCACATCTGGCTCACCTTGCCTTTTTATCCAGGTCAGCGAATGTGGCAGGCTCAGGTCTGTGGTCCGTTCCCTTCAGCCTGTGTGTGGGTGCATGTGTGTGTTCCTTCAGCCATCAAAAATGCGAAACATACATGATGTGGCCCTCATGCTGAAAATTTTGGTGTCCCGTGATATAGATTATTGGCTTTTTGATGTGTACCAAGTAAGGATTCTGAAGACTTCTTAGATATTTGATAGAATATAATTTTACTATACAGAGCCTTTTCCATTACATTACTGTTCTCCAAAATAAAAGATGATGAAAAAGTTAACAGTTATGTTGGAAATGCATACAAGAAATAATAATGATGTGTGTGGTTGGGTGAGAGAATGTGGAGAGCCAAGTTTCATTATAGTTTTTGGATCTGTTGCTTTTAGGAAGTTTTAGATAGTACAACCTGATTAAAATCAGGGTGTGGAGAGAGATGACAGGAGGTCATGCTTGGAGATTTAATTAAAGTTCCCTTACTATGACCAGGCCAAGTGAAGAACATTACTTTATTACTTCTCAAGTGTCTACTAGGTCCACCAAAAATAATACTCTTAAAAGGTAGTGGGGAAAAATAGCCACTTGATAACTAGCATAAGGAAATGCATCCATCAGCAAGTGGTTAATCTGCTTGCTGACAGATGCATTCCAATTCTGAACCCATGAATTTGTCAGTCTGGCCTAAAGTCCTATTTAATAGACGGTACAGTGAAGGAAGTAATGTCCTTCACTTGTCTCTGGCCACAGGACACAGCTGTTGCTCCATGAGAACTTTAAAAAAGGGCCCCCAAAGTGTTCCAAATGCATAATTTCAAAATTTAGGTTAGTAAATGAATTGTCTCAAAGTGTGATAGTAAAATTAACAAGGTAACCTTAGATAAATTTAGAGGTTATGACCAACTACCAATCTTCATTCATTTACAGTGGGAATATAACCTTCAAATATGAAAATACAGTGGTGCCTCGCTTAATGGGCGCCCCGTTTAACGAAGAAATTGCATAGCGATGAAGATTTTGCGATCGCAAAGCGATCGCATAGCGATGTTTTACATGGGGAAAAATCGCTTTGCGATGATCGGTACCTTGTTTTGCTTACCGATCGTCGCAAAGCGATGATTTTTTAACAGCTGATTGGCGGTTCCAAAATGGCCGCCGGGGAAAAAGAAATGGCCGCCTGCTGTTTTCTGGGACGGATTCCTCGCTTACCGGGCAGCAAAAATGGCCGCCCTATGGAGGATTTTCGTTTAAAGGTGAGTCTGAAGCCCATAAGAACGCATTGGGGTTTCAGTGCATTCCTATGGGCCTTTTAATATCACATAGCGACAAAATCGCTTTGCAGTGATTATCATCGCTATGCGAGGCACCATTGTAATCTGAAACTATAAATTGCCTATGGTATTTATGTGTGGAATTATGTTATTAATGGGTAGTGTCAGAAGCCTTTTTGGTGTGGTACTTGTGTCAACTAAGGCATTGGAGAATGTATAAAAAATGACAAGCAAGGAACATTTGTGTGCAAGGAACATTTGTGTGCATTCAGGGTAGGAGCTGGATTGCTCTAGAATATTTTTTTCCCAAAAGGATGTTAAAAAGTAGAGGAAAATAAGGCATGAGAGTAATCTCTAACAACTCCTAGCAGTTTTTAATCATTGAGCTTCTTCACTCACTTTTTCCAGCCGTTTACTTTCTTAAATAATTTCTGATTGGTACTGTCTACTTCCAGCATCTGATTGGACTATATGAATGCAGAGGCAGTCCACATATCCACAACAGTAAATGCAAAGTGACTTTCTGTTCCTTTAGGATGAATGTGATATGTTTTATGCTGTTTAGAAAACAGTGTATGGTACTGGACTATATTACAACATCTGCAGTATTGTTTTTAAAATGTACAGTATAATATATGCATATCCTGTAGTACATATTACAATATGTACAATTTTTAGAAAAGATATATAGTTAGTATTTCTAAGTTAGCACACACAAAACAAAGTGGAAAATGCAATTTCTCATTAGTATTTATTGAGGCCTCAATGATTGCATATAAGTCAGCAAATGCTCATGTTTGAGCTGTGCATGGTATAAATCTTCAAGGTGTCTGTTTTCATTGTTAGTAAATATTCCTCTCTTTTTTTGAGGTGAATGTTTTCTAAAAGTACTCCTTTAAATAAGACACACTTCAAATATCATAAAGATGAAACTAGGGCATCTGGAACTAGACATGTGGTTTTCATAATGGCTGTACAGTACGTCTGTTTTGAGGGGAGGAGTTCATAGGAAACATTGCAGATATGCAAGAACTACTGTGATCATTTACAGGTCTAGTTGGTTTGCTTCACGGCCGTGGTTTGCTAAAAGGAAACCAGTCTCCTAGCATTGTACAGGATAAAGAATACAATTTAGGCAATAGTGCAGGGTGTCCAGTTTTGATGGCTCTGCACCTGTGAGAAAACAAAGCCAGGAAGTTGCCAGTTTTCAGACTTTTAGAGAGGGAAAAAAAAACCAGGAATGGCTAGAAATCTGCTTTTAGTTTTGGACTTTTTCTTTTTCTTCCCTGCCTCCCATTCCTCACACACAGTTAAACATTGTAGCAGGGCCCTAGGTAAAAGATGAATAACTGCTCCTGGAGGTTTCCAGCAGCAGTAATTTGTACTTCATTGACTAAAATTGTTCTATTTTATACACCACTTTCTTTTTGCTGGGGGGATGGTAGATTTGGATTATACCAGGGATGACAGAGGCAACCTGGGGATGTATGTGACTCTAGGTCCACACACTGCCATCCCCTGAAATAGGACTGTTGCCCTATTGAGGGGATTGATAAGAAGGTAAAACATTTGTATTCTGCATTGCAGCACAGAATTACTTAATGCGTTATGTCTGGGACTGTTTTTATAATATGGATAAGATGTTGTTTATCAACCAACAAGATATTGATACTCATTTTTTTGTATAGTGTCTCTGCACATAATTTAGTGTGTATAATATATTTATTTATTATTATTTACATTTATTATTTAGAGTAATTATTATCTAGTCTTAAAAATCCTGTTTCCTATCCTCAGCTCTTTGACCTTGTATAGTTATGATTAAAATAAAAGCTATGTAACTATATAAAAGCTACTCGACACATTGGCTGAAATTATTTTGCTCAGTTACACAAATGTCATAACTTTTAGAGGTAAACTGCCATGAGTTTAAAAATACTTGTGGGTGTTTTGGTTGCAGACTGAGTTACATGACTCAGTGTGAAATAGATAATGTCTGCAGAGATTTGTCACCTTACTGCAGTTTGCTTCCAAATGTGGTGCTGTTTTTGTAACTATGCAACAGGATTTCAAACATTTTATAGCATGTGAGGTGAATCAGTAAACTACTATTGCTTAAACTACTACCACCGCTACTATTAATCTTGCTTACCTTTGTATGGGTGATAGTTGATCTCCTATTGTTTTATTCTATATTTTGGACAATATGGATTGATTTTCTAGGGACTGCAAGAGCATGTGTTGTCTTGATCAGAGGATGAGCTGTGAGTTAGGCATCCTCAAGTTGGTTCATGCCTTGCTGTAGGCAAATTCCAGTGTTTGAATTTCAGCCTCTTCATTGCAGGGTGTGAATATGAGACTATGCTGGTAGGATAGGAAGCTTTTATCAACGTGATGACTATGAAGTGTGTTGAACATGCTAGAAGGGATAGGAAGCAGGTTTTGGCCTGAAGGGTTCTTGGTTTTTGGCTGGGATGCTGTCAGAGCCATACTTGAATTGTGGACAGAGCCATGGCTGGTATGTGCCATCTCCTTCAATGTGCATCCTCACACACCTCCCAGCCTCATGTCAGCTGATTCATGTAGATCAAGTGGGAGAGCATTTGCATTTTCTCTGATCAGTGCTGGGAGATGCTTCCTCCCCCACTGGAGATAAACTCTTTTCCCTTTTCCAGGACTGAGAAAAGGAGCCTCTCTCAGCACTAGGTAAAGAACTTGTCACTTGCTTGAAGCTTGAAACACTTTTATCTGGTGTTGAGAGTGATGACCAAGTGAGGTTACAGATAATAGAAAAAATGGTAATCACTCTCACTGTCAAGGGGGTATACCAGACTTAGTATTCCCATTCCTTGGCTCTGAAGAAGCAGTTTTCAATCTGTAAAAGCTTAGATTGAAATAAATCTGCTAGTCTTTCAAGTATCACAATATTCTTCTATTGTCTTTCTCTTTCTGCCAGCAAATATATTGATATTTTTCTTTACTTCTTTCCACATTGTTGCTTTGGGTTCCCTGTCTCAAAGAAGAGCTTTTCTGGGAGAAGCAAAGGGCAGATTGAGAAAGAAATGAAAGTTTATCAAAACCAAAGTCTGAGCCTGTTGTAAACAGCCTAATTGTAAATACCATGGGTTTCTATTTTCCCAGTTGAGCCTCAAAATTGAGGTCACTGCATCCCCCTCCCCACCTAGATGAAGGCAAGTGCCTCCATCCAGCAACAAAGGACTCTGTTTTGCATGAGGTATGCAGAGTGGATAAAAAGTGATTATTTTAAAAAAATTAAATATGGATTTTTAAAATTTAGATTGGATTTTTTCCCATTTAAATTGGATTTTAAAAATGTAAATCACATTTATTTTAATGAAATGCCTTTGGAGGAACAATCTATCTAAAGATAGTTTTCTATTTAAGATACAATATATTTCAAAGGTTGTTCAGCATGAAATAGAACTTAATTATGTAGCATGAAGCTGTATATTCATGCAACATTTACATTTTTGGTAAACTAATTCAATTAATCCAAGTTATCCAAGCTGATATAACATGTACTTTGTCCGTAGTAAAAATGGATGAAAGGAACAAAGTTCAGGAAGAGACCTTAATCTCATTGTTCTACAAATCTATGCATAAACAATGAACACATTTATATTTAAGCAAATACAAGAATATGTATGCTATATAATATTATGTTAGTTAAATAAAACAATTTAAGTACTCATAATATGGGTGACTAACCTATTAAACTAAAATCTGTGCTGGTATAGCTCTTTTACTAATCTTACAGGTTATTCTACAGTAAATATGAAATCTTCATCTGTTTGCAAATAACTCTTTTACTAATCTTACAGGTTATTCTAAATATGAAATCTTCATCTGGTTGCAAATATTAAAGATTATAACTACCAGCAAGAATGAGTCATCACATTTAAAAAATCATGTTTTAAATTGAGTCTTACTGAGTAGCCATTTAGATTGTGATTTAAATTAACTTGATTTAAATCAAATCCATCCTGCGAGGTAAGGAACATTCTAGCTTCAGACAATATATAACACAGGTGTTCAAAATTCTTCAGCTGAGCAAGCATTCCGGGAACCTCCCTTCTGCTTTCTTTTGGTGGTTGTTGTTGGGGAATGGAGTGTTGGTTTCAGTTGCTGCTCTGCAGTGGAGCTCAGAAGCCCTCTGAGAAGCAAAGGCTTTATGAGCCTTTTTACAGGAGAGGGATGGTGTCATCTGTCCTTCCAACCTGCCTTGCTTTCTCCCCTCCTTGGAGCTGGGGAAGGTGTGGGAATTACAGTAGAACTACTAAGATGATCTGCTCCCGCCTCTATAACTTCAAGTCACAGATGTAGGGTTTTTTTCCCATACTGTTTTCATAGCAAGTGTAATGGTTGAATCTTGGTGAACGTATTTATTGGAGTCAGTCAGTTTATTTGGAATTAAATGTATGCCTTCATTGTACTAAGCATCTTTCTTTATCTTTTTGTAGTATTCAACATGTATATGGAGCTCAGCATCCCCCTTTCGACCCACTTCTTCATGGAACGTAAGTTTGGATGGAAAATGCCATATTTTTTATTTTTATTTTTTGCACTATCAATGAAGTGATGGTGCCTATCCTGATGAAGTGGAGTTTTCTCCATGGAAGCTTGAAATTTGTTGGATTTTTTTAGAGGTCCAGTAAAAGTATCACTACTCTTAACTGGGTTATCTTGGTTTACTGTGAATGAACAGAGTGCTTCTACCTGCTGCTGAGCAGGTAGCACTAATCAGAAATGTAACTCCTTTCTCTATAACAATGGTAAGAACTTATAGAACAAATTGTGTCGCAGTTAAGGGTGTGCATGACAAAATCTTGTTCATGTTTCATTTCAGGCTCTTTCAAGGGGGTGCCTCTTTCATTTTTGTGCCTTTCATGCACTGGTCCTTTCATTAAAAACAAAAGCAGATGGCTCTTTCATTTTGTTTTTCCTCATCTGTTTTCTCTCTAGCATGTCCTAAAGAACCCTTAAAAACTACTCCAGAAAAGCAGAGGAAAGGCAGATTCCCCCCCATGCTTGGGCAAAGTCAGAAGATCAGACAAGAGAGTGGCTTGCACCCAGCTGTGAAAAACAAAAATAACCTCAAATAAAACCAAGAACCTGCTCATACTCCAGTGCAGGGAACTTTATTATTGGGAGTTTTGGGCAAACTGCTTCTGCGGATCTGTATGATCATGCGTTGCTCCCTCTCTCTTTTCCCATCTTGTCCCCCACCCAATCCTTCTATCAGACCCCTCTCAGGCCAATTCCTTCTTGTAATGGCAACAGTAGCACACACACTATCCACTGCTTCCATCTTCTTCATAAGGTTCAGGCATCTAGATGCCACTTGAGTGAGTGAGTGAGTAAGGGGGAAAGGGAAAGGCTGTGGGATTGGAGGAATGAGCCACCATTAATAGACAAAGATATGGGGAAGAGAATGCAAATGCCTTTTGGCCACCTATATAAATTTTTGCCTTTTTGGACTAGCAAATTAACAACTGTGGTGGATAAAACTTCCTTAGTGACGCACCAGCTGTATCACTTTCTGCTGTGATTTAAGTTAACTTTTCTGTCCTTCATAGTTTCCGTCAAAGATTTTTCTTTGCCAATTTCCTCGGCCATAATATATTCCCTTTAATTTTAATTGGCAACAGTTCTATATAAATAAATGTTTTGCCCAGGATATGAGTTTGTAATATTCCACAGAGCTCAGTGAAATTGAAATATAAATGGATGGGATCAGGATGCATGGTCCATTGATCCTTCTGTTAGGAAGATTTAGGTTGCAGCATTCCCACTGTATGCCATTTTACAGATTCAAAATTCCTGCTTTCCCCCTTGTGGATGTTCTGACAGTAGTCCTTGCAATGCTATTTGATGGAAGATTTCTCTGGGTGATTTGACAAGGAAGGGGTGAAGGAAAGAGTGAATACAAAAATGAAACAAAAAATGAAGCTTTCATGTTTTTCACTTTTGTTAACATGAAACAATTGTGTTTGAAGTGAACTTTTTCAGGGAACACAAAAATTAATGTTAAAACTAGAGCCCAGATTGCTAACATGCACTGGATTATGGAGAAAGCCAAAGAGTTCCAGAAGAACATCTACTTCTGCTTCATTGACTATGCAAAAGCCTTTGACTGTGTGGACCACAGCAAACTATGGCAAGTCCTTAAAGAAATGGGAGTGCCTGACCACCTTATCTATCTCCTGAGAAACCTATACGTTGGACAGGAAGCAACAGTTAGACCTGGATATGGAACAACTGATCGGTTCAAAATTGGGAAAGTACGACAAGGCTGTATATTGTCCCCCGGTTTATTTAACTTATATGCAGAATACATCACGTGAAAGGCCAGACTGGAGGAATCCCAAGCCAGAATTAAGATTGCCGGAAGAAATATCAGGAACCTCAGATATGCAGATGATACCAGTCTGATGGCAGAAAGTGAGGAGGAACTAAAGAACCTTGTAATGAGGGTGAAAGAGGAAAAAATGGTCTGAAGCTCAACATCAGAAAAACTAAGATCATGGCCACTGGTCCCATCACCTCCTGGCAAATAGAAGGGGAAGATATGGAGGCAGTGACAGATTTTACTTTCTTGGGCTCCATGATCACTGCAGATGGTGATAGCAGCCCCGAAATTAAAAGACGCCTGCTTCTTGGGAGGAAAGTGATGACAAACCTAGACAGCATCTTAAAAAGCAGAGACATCACCTATCCATTCTGAAGGAAATCAATCCTGAGTGCTCACTGGAAGGACAGATCCTGAAGCTGAGGCTCCAATATTTTGGCCATCTCATGAGAAGAGAAGACTCCCTGGAAAAGCCCCTGATGTTAGGAAAGTGTGAAGGCAAGAGGAGAAGGGGACGACGGAGGATGAGATGGTTAGACAATGTCACTGAAGCCATCAACATGAATTTGACCCAACTCTGGGAGGCAGTGGAAGACAGGAGGGCCTGGCATGCTCTGGTCGATGGGGTCACAAAGAGTCGGACACAACTAAACGACTAAACAAGTCTAGGTGTAAATTTCCCTTTGATTTCTTGGATCTTGTGGATCCATTTTCTCTCTCTTTCCTGTTTCATTGCACTGATTATTGTAATAGTTCTCTTTCTCTGGTTGTGATAGTTGATGAAACGTTGCATTGATCCTTTTACTTTTGCTTCTTGTCTGTACTTAACAATTTTAAATATTTCTTCCATTATCCATATAGGCTTTTCTTTCGATTATAGGAACAGCCTTTTTACATGCTTCCCTGATTGTAAGCCAGATTACTTCTGATCCATGATCAGTTCATTGTCGTTCTGCAAGTGTTTATATCAACTTTAAACTAACCTGAAATATATATTTTGTAGCTGTTGTTCTTGTAGTGTTCTCTCAGCACTTAAGTCCAATTTTTTATATTAATAATTCATTGTCTGTACACAATCTGCTCTTGGTTTTTTTTGGCAGAGAGAATATTGCTTCTCTATCTCCTATTTCCAATTATGTAGTTTATTTGGTTGCTGTATTGGCCATTTAATGATGTCCACATGTGTAAGTCATCTTTTGGGTTGCCTGAAGCATTTATTTGCAATAAACAGATGGTTAGGTTCACAGAATTCTTTGAGTTGTTCTCCTGTTTCATTTCTGACTCTTAGGTCAAATTCTCCAACAATGTTTGCTTCTTACTTTTGCATTCCTGTTGCCTATGATTATCAGTACACTTTGTTTCATTGTGTGATTAATTTCCTCTGAGATGCTTGCATTTAACCTTTTAATTTCTTCTTTTTAAGCATCTGTAGCTGGAGCATGAACTTGAATGATAGTCATATTCAGTGGTTCTTAACCTTTGTTACTCGGATGCTTTTGAACTGCAACTCCCAGAAACCCCAGTCAGGACAGCTGGTGGTGAAGGCTTCTGGGAGTTGCAGTCCGAAACTCCTGAGTAATCCAAGGTTAAGAACCAGTGGTCATATTGATAGGTTTTCCAAGAAGTTTGATGTTATTCAGTCATTGCATTGTCGTCCCTAACTGCCTGTGCTATATCTTGTCTCACTATTAGAGCCACTGTATTTTTTCTGATTTTGTTCATTTCCATTTTGTAATTATCTGACTGAAAATGTCCCATTCTTATCCACTTTACTTACTTTACATCAAGCACCACAGGGTTCAAATGTTCCATTGGTTGAATTTCACTTTCCAGTGTACTTTAATTTATATTTCTTATGATCCATGTTCCAACTGTATGTGTTCTGTAGTCTCAGACTTTGGTTCACCTCTGGGCACATTGTTCACCAAGATTTCCTTTTAGCTTTAATGTAGTTGCTTCATTAGTGACAGTAGTCTTTGCACTTGTTCTTTGCTCTTGGTTTGATTGAGTGCCTTCTGATCTGAGTTTCATCTTCCAACACACTCTCTTGTTTCATTTTGGATTGTCTCATCAAGGGGTTCTCAAGGTAAGAGGTGGTTTATCATTATCGTCTTTTCTGCTATATCCTCCACTACTGCTGCCGTCCAGTAGCTGCCCTTCGTAAGTTTCTCCACCCTCACTACTGTTGGAGCTGTCATTTTCTTCTCATGGCTATTAATACTCTTGCTGGAAGCACATCAGGAAAGGGATCGATCTGGCCCCCCAAGGAACAGGATCCCACACCTTGTTAGTAGTAATTAGCCACTGAGAGTTATGCAAATTAAATATGCATCAGTAAATCGCCAACAGGAATCTGGCCTCTGACTTCAACAATGGTAAACGTGGGTATCTCCAGAATTATATGCAGAGAACTTGATGACAGAAAATAAGTATGAAATACTACGTGTGAAAAATTCCTGGAAAATAGATGAAATATTCTTTTTTAACAATTTTCACTTCATAGAGTGTGTATATTTTATTTTTTGACCCAAGTCACTTGGCTTTGAAGTCCAACTGCCTCTTTACTAGACCATCATGGCTGCTTAAAATCTTTTCTGCTGTGGCATCTAATGTTTGTTCAAGATTTTCCCCCCTTAAAGTCAGAAATATCTTTACACAAGCTTTATCAGGCAGAATTGTTCAGGAGCGTATGCTTTAGCCACCTGACTTACAGAGGCTGTTGAAATACCATTCTCATGAAAAATTCATGGTATTCTAAAGTTGAAAGCTAAACTACTTGTTATGGAAGTGAAGACTAATTCATTGACTTTTTAGGTAAGAGGGAGTGGGGAGAAGACGGTATTGTAAATACAGTAAGTGAAGAAAGATGCAGGCCTCAAGACTGTAGTAATTTATTTTGTGAAGCATATGAAGTATTCTCTGCTAAGTATATTTTTGAATTTGATGTTCTTGGCATTTCTGAATGAAGCACATGAAGACTGTTTGTCTAAGACCTTTGCACAAAATATGTTTGGCATTCTTTACAACACTATTCCTTTTGAGTACCAGCTTCAGATCTACTTTTTCCTTTGTTCTTAATTTCTTTTAAAACAGAAGAAACTGTTTATTCTAAAATGATAGTTTGTCAGTGTAGAAGCAAATTGTACAGTGTTGCCATTCTCTTCTGATTAAAGTGTGTCTTTTTCTTTCAGAAGAGAATTTTCTAAGTTTTTTTTTAAAGGAACGGTGCAGGAATTTATCAGATATCAGTATAAAATGCTTTTGCATTCATTCCTCCCTTTTAAACAGCTTAAAACCTGGAGCAAAGCAACCATCAACTCCAGTAAAATTGAAGAAAGTCAGCACATTTCAAGAATTTGAAAGCAACACAAGTGATGCCTGGGATGTTGGGGATGACGATGATGAACTCCTTGCAATGGCTACAGAAAGCCTTAATACTGATGTAGTCATGGAAACAGCTAACAAAGTAATTCAGAATCACAGTAAATTACAAGAACAGCACAAATTGCAGGAAGTACAGGTGGAAAGAGAACAACTACAACAACTCTCAGACCTTCCCCCGACTGCTTGTGGTGACAACAGATTGGTCAAGTCTGTCAGTGAAAGCAACACATCAAGTTCTGCAGGTATATTAAATGTCAAAAATATATCGACACCCAGATATGTGGTAAAGTATCACTTTTTGCAGAATTTCCTGTATGCAAGCCTTTTTTGCTTATTAAAAACTGAACACAAATTGAAAAAAGTCATGTACATTCAGAGCAGATTTTAAAATATTGGGAAATAAATGAATGTGTTAGACTAGCTGCCATGAGCAGTATTTTGTTACTTGTTGTGTGGAGTATAATAGTTTGCTTGTGGAGCTTCCATTGTCTATGCACAAGCAGAAGATTGCACATTGAAACAAGTGATGCTTACATTTACGATGATGATGATGATGCATTTTTCCCAACAAGGGACCGGTTTACGATGATGATGATGCATTTTTCCCAACAAGGGACCGAAAGCGGTTTACAATATTAAAAAATTCACACAATTTAAAAACACGTTTACGATGATGATGATGCATTTTTCCCAACAAGGGACCGAAAGCGGTTTACAATATTAAAAAATTCACACAATTTAAAAACACAATAAGTTAAGAAAGTGGTTCACAATATTAAAAAATTCATACAATTTAAAAACACAATAAGTTAAATATTAAAAGATAAACTAAACAATATATGATTTAAAAATTAAATTAAAAGATTAAAACATTAAAACATGGAAAAGATTAAAATTATTTGCTGAAATGAGGTTTGGGGATTCAGTTGTAATTGTTAAAAGCCTGCCTGAAGAGATGGGTCTTTAGCTTTTTTCAGAAGGATAACAGCTAAGGGGCCAACCTGATCTCCCGAGGGACAGAGTGCCATAGCCTGGGAGCTGCTACAGAGAAGGCGCTCTTCCGTGTCACCATCAGCTGTGCTTGTGCTGACAATGGGACTGAGAGGCGGGCTTCCTCTGCTGATCTTAATTGTCGAGAAGGCACATATAGAGAGATACGGTCCTTCAGGTAGCCTGGACCCAAGCTGTATAGGGCTTTATAGGTAATGGCTAGCACTGAAATGAGCTCTGAAAGGAAATGGTAGCCAGTGCAGTTCTTGTACCTGGTGCGTTATATGCTCTCTGTAGCTGGCCCCAGTCAGTAGTCTGGCTGCAGAGTTTTACACCAGCTGAAGTTTCCGAACCGTCTTCAAAGGCAGCCCTACATAAAGTGTGTTACAGTAATCCAGTGCAAGGAGGTAGTAGATAGCTTGTTGCACACCCTTCCAGAAGAGCCCAACCACTTATGAAACACACTCTTGTATGAATTGAAGGCATAGCAATGATTCTCTCCTCTGAATTTATCTCACTACTTTTTATCTGAGTAATCCTAATAATGCTACTTTATTTGTCATGTAACTAGTTGTTATCAATAATGATGCATATTTCATAAAGACCTATTTTGAACAGGACACTTAACCACAAAAAACTTATTTCAGTTTATTATTAGATTTATAGATTTATTAGATTTATACCCCACCCATCTAGACGAATGGCCTATCTGTTGGAAGACATCTAGCCCAATATTCTCTTTCCAGAAAGTTCTGCGTACAACCCATTTGTAGGACACCCAATCTGAAAATTATCAGAACATGGGTAGGAGTGAAAATTGGCAGGTCTGCTATGTGTTTAGTTGCCTGTATGGCCGTTTAAACTAAGCATGTGTGGACTTGGACTGCATATCCTACAGAATCTAATATTTATATAGCTTTGTATAAGTGAAAGGGTGACCTTTCCAGGGGGAAAAGATAATTTTATGTTAGTCATAACTGACTGCAAAAAGTAAAATGTAGCTCAGATAGCACCTAGTGAAGTGAAGGCATAGTATATTGAGGAAGAATGTGCATGAGGAAAGACAAATCAATGAATTTGATGCAATCACAAAGAAAAGAACAAAATTTTCACTAGTAGAGATTTTCTATTTATTTTATTTATTGTATTTTATATCCCGCCCATCTGATCAATTGACCACTCTGGGCGGCTAGCAACACTTAAAATAATACAATTTAAATATAACATCAATATATAACATCTATAATCAATTGTTCAAAATGGAAAGAAAAAAAGAAAAAACATAAATAGTGGCTGGAGGGAAGGCCTGCTTAAACAGTCAAGTTTTCAATTGGCTTTTGAAAATGGCCAGCAAAGGGGCTATACGAATCTCAGGAGGGAGTTTATTCCTAAGGCGAGGAGCCACTGCTGAGAAGGCCTGGTTTCTTGTTTTTTTTCCTTCCGAGCCTCCCTCAGTGTTAGGCTCCTCAACCTTATCTCCTGGCTAGATTGAGTGATACCTGTGGATTTTGGTGGGAGTAGGCATCCTGCCACATATCAAGGTCCTAAACCGTTTAAGGCTTTGTACGTAAGCATTAATACTTTGAAATCAATGCGGAACTGAACGGGCAGCCAATGCAGAGCGGCCAGAGTGGGAGTGATATGATGGTATTTTCTCACCCCACTAAGGAGTCTGGCCGCCACATTCTGCACCATTTGGAGTTTCCGCATCAACCTCAAACGTAGCCCCATGTAGAGTGCATTATAGTGGTCTAATCTTGAGATTACAAGCACATGTACCAAAATGCAGAGGGCCCCAACATCAAGATAGGGACGCAGCTGGGGAATCTGTCAAAGATAAAAATAGGCGGAATGGACCACTGACGCCACCTGAGTTTCCATGGTGAGTGCCGGGTCCAGATGGATCCCCAAGCTGCAAACCTCACTCTTCGCAGTGAGAGTCACCCCCCCCCCC